TCTACATCCGCATCAGCACCTTTCATCACCCTAGCCGCACTCGTCTTGGCTTGATACACAGAAGCGCACCGCGAAGAACAACGTCTTGATCGAATTCAGCGCAAGCGACTGGTGTGGGGGCCACAGCCCGCAGTCCATTCCGCACCCTCTTCGCCATTGACCACCTTGAAGCCATCGCAGGCAGAGCAAGATGAAATACAATGTGATCCACGACTATCTCTCGCAGGTTGGAGCTGCCTATGCCTCGCGCAGTCAGGATCCGTTCACCTTGGCCACCCTCTTGGTCGTCGATGCTCAGAAGCACGCCTTGTTGTCCCATGCTCTGCGAGCTGTGAGTAACCAGTCTGCTCGCTGATACGCGCTGCCTTCCTGCCTGATTGCCCTCCGTGCCTACAACCCTCACCTGTTTCAGCCTCAGAACTCGGATCTGCCCAAGAAGCTGCACACTCTTCTGCGCGTACAAAAGACGGACAGATTGGTGCCGTTCATCGACTCGCTCTTCAACTATTTGGCTACTCAACCTCCCACTGCGCAATTGGTAGCTCGAGGTCCTGCTCAACTGCCCATCCAGGCCTACAGACCCGCCTTTGATGCTTGGGCTGCTGTTTGGACGTAAGTCGAGTCTTTCCGGCAAAGGTGGAAGAAGCGGAGGTGATAGCTGGTTGCTGTCTGGAGGTGGACGCGGTAGACTTCAAAGGGGGAAACTGCGCCACACACGCCAACTCATATGCACTCTTACTCCCTACAGCAAAGCATTTGCCATCTTCTCGCTGCCTGACGCCACGTGGTTTGGAGCCAGTCTCAGACACTTTGGTCTGGTATTGCTGCATCTAGCCGTCAAGGTGAGTGGAACCACTGCGCTTGGCTCCGGACACTCGCCATCGTGCTCACTCTCTCCCACACCTTTCGTGATGATGGTTTAGGCTGACAAGTACCAGGTGCAAACCAGCAGCACAAAGAACCCTTGCATCACCGATGCTGCATCGAAAGTGTCCAAGGCTGCTGGGCTGGCTGCCATCGATCGAACGCCAGCGGCGGGACAAGAGACGAAGCGAAGGGAAGTCTTATGGCTGGCCAACTTGAGCTTCTACGCCTACTTCAAGGTGAGTTTCTGGAATATAGTGGCAATGTTGAGCGCATCGCTGACATTTCATGCCCGGCTCGGACAGCTCAACAACCTGCGCTTATGCGATACCGTCCTGTCCTCAGTCGACAGCGCCTTCGCTTTGAACAGGCAATTCGCGCCACCAACGACATCTGTTCTGGCAGGAGCAAACGCAGATCAGGGCGAAAGCTGCTACAGTCGAGCAGATAGGGTGACCTACAGGTACTACTTGGGTCGCTTGAGGCTCATGCAGCATCGCATTCGTGTAGTGCGTGGCCACCAGCTGCTTCTTGCCGCGGCATGACGTATCTGCTGACAAAATTATCGCACAACTGCCCCACCTTCTTCTGCTCACGAAGGCACACACGCATTTGCGATGGGCCTTCGACAACTGCATCGTCTCTTCGCGCAACAAAGTGTGAGTCGAAGCGCACTGCTCTCGAACTCTCTTAGGGTCAAAGCTGACGTCTGCCTGCACCGTAATTCGCAGCTTCATCTTGGTTCCACTGCTTGTAGCCTCGCTCATCTTGGGTCATTATCCCACGCCAGCTCTTTTACAGGCATCAGGACTGCATCCTCAATTCGGACCGCTGGTAGAGAGACTGAGATTAGGCGATGGGGCTGGAATGCTGCAGGAGCTGAACAGGTGGAGAGAGTGGCACAGATCCAGGGGCATCTATCTTTTGCTCAGGGAGAGGCTGCAGACTGCCTGCTGGAGGAACCTTATTCGACGAACGTGAGCAGCACGCTAGCAAGCACCTCTCATCAAGGAGTCGCAC